TATATGGTCTTAAGCAGTCTCCTCGAGCTTGGTTTGAGAAGCTATGTGGGGCCATGAAGAAAGGGGGTTACACTCAAAGTGGGGCAGATCATACCTTGTTCATAAGGAAGAAAAATGGAAAACTTACAACACTTATTGTATATGTGGATGACATGGTGATTACAAGGGATGATCAGGAAGAGATTAAAAGACTAAAGGAGGTCTTGGCTGCTGAATTTGAGATCAAAGACCTAGGTCAGCTGAGATACTTCCTTGGGATTGAAGTTGCTAGATCAAAAGAAGGCATCTACATATGTCAGCGGAAATATGTCCTTGATCTTCTACAAGAGACAGGCATGATGGGGTGTGGGCCAACAAATACTCCAATAGAACAGAACCATGGCCTACAGGAATCAATAGGAGAGGACTACCTTGATAAGGAAAGATACCAAAAGCTGGTGGGGAAGTTGAYYTAYHTGTYCCTCACTCGCCCTGACATTGCTTATGCTGTACATGTTGTCAGTCAGTTCATGCACACTCCTAAAGTCCCTCACATGAAAGCTGTGGAAAGGATTCTCAGATATTTGAAGTCTTGCCCGGGGAAAGGGATTTTGTTCAGAAAAAACAATAAGATTGAAGTTGAAGCATATACTGATGCAGATTGGGTTGGCTTTGTTGGGGACAGGAAGTCCACTTCCGGGTACTGCACCTTTTTGGAGGAAATCTAGTTACATGAAGGAGTACAAAACAAAATGTGGCTGCTAGATCAAGTGCAGAGGCTGAATATCGAGCTATGGCTCATGGTGTTGCTGAACTTCTGTGGCTTAAGATCCTTCTTGGTGAACTTGGAATAAAGATCAAGTGCCCTCTCAGGTTGTACTGTGACAACAAGACTGCCATCAACATTGCAAATAACCCAATGCAACATGATAGAACGAAACATATTGAGATAAACCGCCACTTTGTCAGAGAAAGAATAGTCTCAGGAGAACTATGCATTCCTTATACTCCCTCCGAGATGCAGATCGCAGATGTTTTAACTAAAGGGCTAGCTATAGTAAAATTCTTGGACTTACTTGGCAAGCTAAACATGATTGACATCCATGCTTAGATTGAGGGGGAGTGTTGGTTCGGCTGTCTTAATATGTTTATTTATCTCTGTTGGGTCTTTAGTCTTTTGTTATTGGACCTTAGTTATTGGGCCTAATCTTATTTAATGTTTTTTATTTGTCTAGGCGTCCCATCACTAATCAGGGGCATTCTAGTCTATTTGTGTAACATTATGTAATACACTTATTAATAATAGAGTAGGGCCGGCTGAGAGATTATTGCTGCCATTCTCAACTCTCCTTCTTCTTCTTCTTCTCTTCTCCTTCGGCAGCTTCTTTCCAGCAAACACTTCTAAATTATTTTTATACAAGAAATATAAAATGTTTATAATTGTTAGTTGATTAGTTATTATTTTAGTTAATGCTTAAATGCCAAAACTTATTGCCTATAAACTTCTAGTTTATGGATATGTGTACCTTCTATCATTTTAATTTAGTATATTATATGTTATCTTCATCAATTTACAAATTTTAATTCATTTTTTTTCTTAAACTTTGAGGCTTATGCCTCACCTTTTTGGGCCATTACGCCTCAACTATGCCTTTAGCCTTTTAAAACCTTGCTCCAAGTAATTAATCTCATATAATCTTATTGAGGTCATAGTATTCAAAAACTGATCTACAAACCCACTTAGACCAAGTATAAGAAATAAAAAGGTCCAAATAAGAATAAAATACAATAGCCAAACTGTCAACATAAATGTTCATGTGAACATGAACAGGTGTTACCATGACCATTCAGAATGTTGTTATTATTATTGTTATTGCTATCGGTATTGCACTTGTCGTTGTTATTGTTATTATTATATTTGTTTTTGGGAATAATCACAAGCAACACGTGCAGTTTTACTAGTATATAAATGTGGCTAGGAGAGAAACAGGACTCTTTATATATGACAGGAACAATTTATATTTGACATGCAATTTCTGCTAGTAGGAACAAAAAACATGAGGATCTGAAACGAACAAAGGATAATTTGTCCTTGAACATAGGCCTCTATTAGCTACCATATGAAGAGATCACGATCTATAATATACCATATGAACCTGCAAAGAACTGTTAAAAGATAAGCAAAACCTTATTATAATGATGGCTTCAACACCTTCCTATATAAGTTGTAAAATAAAAGCTCAATTGCTTCACAAAATGAACACTGCTTTTAGAAACTAATTTTTTGAAACTGTGTCCAAGAAGCTAACCTTGGGCCCAGACTTTGTATTGATTTTGCAGCAGAATACATGTCAGAGACTGTTTCCAACTGCACACCACCTAACAAAGCAGATGCTTCCTTCAAATTTGGGGTCACAATATCAGCCATTGGAAGAAGTTCCTCCCTACAGTCCATCATTCAGGAAAACTTAGTTGCATGAGAACCTGTGAAAGCTAGTGGAGAATTTTATTAAAAGATAGAAGGATAGTGCAAAAATGAATGATAAGATATCACCACCATATACAGCATAATTGATCAATAAAATTCCAAACAAGATCCTTCCACATAACAAAAAGGCCTCCTTAAGCAAATCCCACCTCCCTGCTTCCACCCACCTTTGCTTCCCAAAAGCAAGCATACTCCAACCATCAATTATCAACACCTGCATAAACTAATTTCTTTACCTCCACCAATCTCAATATTGACTGCAAACCTGACAAATAGCACCTCCATGCCATTCAACACAACCATCTCCCTCCCATCAAAACAAAACCTATCTCTTCTGACCCCTAATTCCTAATTACAATCAATTTGGAGACCACTATGACACACCGTCTTAAATCTAAATAATTCGCATAAGGAACTATCCATATAGATCCATGTCTTTTTTCCAACTCCAAAAGCACTTTCCTAGTAGACTCTGCCAGCAAAAAAAGAAAAAGGCATACACATTGTCTTTCCAACTTCAATTTCTGTATCAGCAACAACTATCCTAGAATAATCTTGACGTAGAACTGGGAAACTGATCCAAATCAACTTTTTTTGCCTAAAAAACTAAGAAAAATCAATAGGTAACCTATAGGGGTACTCCAATAAGGACTTTTAACTCCTAAGCAACTCTATTAAGACTTTCCTAATCATACTAAAAACTAATTTAATGTAAAGATATGAGAAATTACTAAAAATAGAAAATTATGAATTTACTATGCAAGGGTTGTGTTCCAGAGTTCACTGGGTTTAGCAGTGAACTCGGCCAAGCCCATTCACTAAGGCTAGGCTGAACCCATGTGGACTTATGTGAGGTCATTGTGGGGTCCCATGCCATACAAATCAGGCCTAAGTTGGCCATGCAACATCTTGGGTCGTAAGCCTTTGAAATAAATGGGCCGAAAACCCATAATTAATAAGATTAAGTAAGTTGTCACATGACAACTGCTTTGGGTCAAATCTGGGTTTGGAAATGGGTATAGAGAACCCATTCTCTTAAGAGGATAAGGCTTATCTCTTAATAGAGTCCAGATCTAAATTAGATTTTTATAATCTCCTAATTTGATTAGAAGAGTGCCCCATAAGAAGATAAAAGAAAAAGAGGGTGAACCAGACTAGAACACCACTCTCTCTTGTTCTCTCTTCTTCTCTTTTGTCTTCCAAGAAACCCAATCACGACCTAGGCTTTCAAGAACTTATTTAGACCAGTTTTCTTCTTTGTTTTTGCAAGAAAAACTCAAAAGAAAATCAGGCTCACTTACCTCATTCGGTTCAAGCAAGTTGGATCACAGTTTTGCTAAAAACAATGTTGCTGAACTGGCTTCACCTACACACTACGCCATCTTCAGTGGAGGCTGATTTTAGGACTGATTTGGCGTGAACTTCCACTTTGGGATCTGCATATGTGGAATCCGTATCAGGTATACATCTCCCTCTTTGTTTGGTTTCAAATCTGGTCCAATTTAGTGCAAGATCGATCTGGAAAATTTAGTTTTCAAATTCACCAGGAAATCAGTTCCCGTAAGGGATAGAAAAATTTTTGAAATTTCACCCAGCCATCTAGCACGATTCGGCCATCCATATGATGGATTCTAAACCCTTTCAACAGTGGTATCAGAGTACTAGGTTCAGCTCTTGGACTGAACCAAACCGGATTTGAACCCAAACTCAAATCGGCAAGAACTAGTCTAGCCGATTCGAGCAGTTAGCAGAAACCTCTGAGAATTTCTCAAAGTGGGTCAATGATCTGAAATTTTTTTTTATATATATTCTGATATATTATAGAATTGTTCTATTATGGATTCTTGAATTCTTGGGCTGAAAGTGTGATGGAGATCAAACTCTTGAGGGTGGCAAGATCTGTGCACACCAAATTTATTAATTTGATTATTTAGTCTATAATTAATTATTTTTCTTTTCTAGAAAGAATGTATTAGGTTTTTCTGATGTAAGCAATAGAAATTAGGGTTTTCTATTTTTTTACTTCGTAGAAATCGCCGAAACTTGCAGAAAAGATAGAGATTGCAGATGGAGATCGATCTATAGATTGCAGTTTTGCAGGGATGCAGCTTTTTGTCCGGATTGGATTTAGACCATCACACTATCAACCCTAGCCAATTATTTCTAATTATCTGCTATTTATTTGATGATATGATTGTGAATCATAACTGAGAATTTCATATCATTACTTATGTGAATTGATGCATGTTTTGGACACCAAACCCTAGGTTGATCTGACCTAGTTTTGGTCCAATCTTGTTGGGCCGAACCTATGATTCTTTGGGGTCTGATCATAGCCCCTAGGATCACTGTTTAAGTGACCCAAAATCAATCTAGGCCAGGGGTTTGATGGCTCATTGCATGGACCAATTCGGCCCATATTTGAAAAAACCTTTTATGTTAGATTAAAGCAAGACTAGCCCATTTCAGCATTGACTACTATATGGATCGAACTGCTTTTTGCAATTTAGCCCATTAATCAAGATAAATTTATTAGATAATTTGGTCCATTGATCTGATCATGTGTTAATCTAAATGGATCTGGGTTTCACAAGTTTTAAATTGATATGGATCAATTACGTATGTGTATGTGATGTGCTGAATGGATGTGATTCGTTCATGGGCCATGAGTGCTTGACCCATGTATTGACTTATGTGGCTCTCCACAATCATCATGGCTACATCATTGTCATGATGCCCATGGATCATTGCATGATCTCCTTTTCTAATGGGCCCCATCAATAGCTTCCTCCCCAAGAGGAACCTCATGGGAACCCTAGCCCATTATGGCCCCATTCAAATCTGGCTTTATGAAAGTCAGTAGGAGCCACTAGGTATGACCTAAATCTGACCTAAGGACTGATATACATGTTCCCTCATGAGTAATATAAGTGCAATGAGATAGGAAATGTCATAAGATGACATGTCTAAAGGCCTTCCATCATTAGCATGAAAATGGGTTGAATTGGTGGATGGAGATGCACCATAAAATTGGGTTATCCATTTCATTGAGACAGTCGGTGGGATTGCTTCATGAGATGATAGGGGCGTAATAGAATAGTGGAAGGGACCTATCCTAAAATGGAACTCTTCCATGGTACCTTGGGGCTCCCGATATGATGGGTCTACGCTTATCAATTAAAAAGGTTTAACCAAAAGTGGCAATGAACCTTGTCTGATGGAGGCCAAAGGGAAAGCTCATTAGATGGGTGAATATGCCATCCTTCATAGAAAGTGATGGGGTTATGCAGCTAAAACAGTTGGTGGGCCCATGCACTTATGTGATTTCCCACATTTCTAGGGACATGAACTATGTCCTCGTCACTGAGATAGGAGCGAAATCTCAGAGATGAACAAATGGAGATGGAACAAAGATAAAAGTCCATTTTATGAAAGATAACATGAAACAATATTAATGTCGTGGTCCTCGTGGACTAATTAATCATGCCTTTTATCAGAAATGGCACACGGACAGTTCGCTAAATTATTAGACAACAACAAATTGAAATGACCCAATTATGCAGACTGATTTCGGAACCTAAACCTAGTCCTCACGTCCAAGAAATTGAACAAGGTTGCTAAAAACCTAGCACCGGAACATCCGGGTGATAGGGCTTCTAAGACAATGAGGGAATATCAGGAATGGGAAGAGAAAAATTCTCTTGCCCGGTGTTATGTCATTGCCTCCTTGGATAATTCTATCCAAAAGCAATTTGACAAAATTGTTATCTACAAAGATATCCTGGGTAGTCTAAAAACCATGTATGAGGAACATAATCGTTCTGCAAGACAAAGGGTCCTCAAGTTGTTGATGACCACGAGGATGACCAAGAGCCAACCAGTTCACAACCATGTCATGCGGATGATAGGTTATATAAATGAATTAGAGGCTCTTGGCTCCCAACTTGATGATAACACCAAAATTGATACCGTCTTAAATTCTTTACCCTCGTCCTTCAATCAGTTTGTCATGAAGTACAACATGAACAAGCTAAAAGTTAGCTTGTAGGAGCTTGGCAATATGTTGCAAAGAATTGAAGAACCGATTAAGAAGGATAAGCCGGTAGCCATGCTTGTTGAATGTGGCAGATCTGGCAGGAAGAAATGGAAGGGTGAGAAGAAACCTTCAGAAAAAGGGAGGCAAAACGAAAAAGTAGAAGAGAGAAGTCATCTGATGAATGTCACTTCTGCAAGCAGACTGGGCACTAGAAGAGGAATTGTCCTCAGTATCTAGAATCCCGCAAGAACAAAGAAGGTAATTTCGAATCTCTTGTCATAGAGACCAATATGTTGGTCACTTCTGCATCCTGGTGTATTGACTCTGTGCTTCAATTCATGCATTTTGCAGGGGTTCAAGGAAAGAAGGTTGATTGATGACGAGGTTGTGCTTTACTTGGGGATGAGTGCAACTGTTGTAGCTACTACTATCAAAATAGTAGATTTAATTTTTAAAGAAGGAATTGTGACATTAAAAGATTGTCTTTATGTGCCTTTACTTAGAAGAAATTTGATTTTAGTTTCCATGTTATGTAAGGATGGTTATTCTATTTTATTTAGTAATAAGATTGCAATTAAATTGAATAACAAATTCTTAAATTACAGAGAACTTGAGAATGGTCTTTATGTTCTCCATCCTTCTCTACAAACAAATGTGACTAAAACCGTATCGGAACGCATCCCCAATAAAAGAAGCGATACAATTAATCACACGTGCCTGTAGCATTACCGACTTGATCATATTAATATAGAACATATCACAAGATTGGTGAAGGATGGTCCTCTAGATTTTCTCACTAATGGAAGATCTACCAACTTATACCAACTTATAAGCCTTGCCTCCAAGGCAAGATGGCAAAAAGGCCATTTACAGGTAAGCCTGAAAGAAGTATGAGCACACTTGACCTCATTTATACTAAT